TCTCCATTTTTCGTTTTGAATATTCTATTATGTCTTAAAGTTCATTGATTTTTCTTTTGCACTGTCAAATCTGCTGTTAAGTTCATCTTCATATTTTTTTCATCTGAGATGTACTTTTTATATTATTTTCAATTTGATTTTTTTCTTCATATGTCTCTGCTTAACATGTTCAGTCTTTCCTGTTGGTTTTTTAAACATTTAGTCTACAGTTATAGCAGTTGTTTTAATGTCCTTGTCAACCGATTGTATTCTATTATCAGTTCTGGGTCCTTTTCTATTGATTGATTTTTCTCATTATGGGTTGTATTTTTTTTCTTCTTTCATGCCTGTTAAGTTTAATTTGGATGTCAGACATGGTGACTTATTGGGACTAGATATTTTGTATTTCTGAAAATCTCCTTGAACTTTATTATGTGAAGCAGTTAAGTTACTTAGAAACAATTTTATTCTTTCAAGTCTCAAAAGCTTTGTTAGTCAGGACCACCAGAGTAGCTTTTAGTTTGGGGCTAATTGGGTACTATTACTGAAGCAAAACCCTTCTGAATACTCTCCCTGATTCTTTGTGACTAATGAGGTTTTTCATTGTAGTTGGTCGGAATAGGCACTCTGCCCAGCTTTGTATGAGCCCTGATGGTTATTGGTTTTGGGTGGTTCTTTCCCTAGCTTCTGGTATTTTTGCCTCACACATAAGTGCTGATCAGTACTTGGCGGAAGACGTGAGAGGGATAGGGATCATCTTGCAGATTTTCAGTGTCCTTTCTCTGTGCAGATCTGCCCTGCAAACCTGGTCACTTTGTTGCCTCCCCAGACACCCAGCTTCATCTCCCCAAATCAGAGAGACTGCTCTACTCCCCCTGGGTTCCCTGCCTTCCCTTTTTTTGCAGACTGTAGACCAAACATGTCAAACTCCCGGCCCGCTGGCACGAGTTTGATGTGTTTGCTGTAGACTCTTTAGTTTGCAAACTGGGATAATTGCAAAGCTCATCTAGTTTCCTTCCTATCTCTGTATCAGTTTCTTTCATTACCTGGTGTCCATTTTCTTGAAAACTTGTTTTATATATTTTGTCCATTTTGTTGTTGTTTTAGATGGGAAGGCAAATCTGGTCTCTGTTTTTTCATCTTGGTTGGAAGCAGAAGTCTCAACATAGTTTCTCCCCTCAAGAAACATATTTTATTTATTTTTTGGTTAGAAAACATATTTTAGGTGGTGGTGGTGGAAAATGGGGATCAGAATTATATGTAATCTATATCCTATCTAATAAAAGAGAACATGGTAATTAGCCGTACGGCCGCTACCCTTCCCATTGGCTAATCAGGGAGATATGCAAATTAACTGTCAACCAAGATGGCAGCCGGCAGCCAGGCAGCTGACGCGAACAGAGAGGCTTGCTTGCTTCAGTGACAGAGGAAGCCAGGTTCCCCGCCTGCCTTGCCGGCCTCTCAGCTGCTCTCTAAGCAACATTGTAACAAATATAGAAGCTAAACAAAACCCTGGGCTTCAGCCAGCAGGACCGCAACATTGTTTCAAATACAGAAGGTAAACAAAGGCCGGAAACCTGCTTTCAGCAGCCGAGGCCTCATAGCTGGAGCCAAGCCTCAGAGCTAAAGCTGGCCCAGAATAAAAAAAAAAGAAAAAAAGGAGCGGTTGGGAGCTTCAGTCACCCGCCAGCCTGAAAACGGCCCTCAGCCCCTCACCCAGGCTGGCCAGGCACCCCAGTGGGGACCCCCACCCTGAAGGGGGTGTGACCAGCTGCAAACAGCCATCAGCCCGTCATCCAGGCTGACCAGGCACCCCAGCGGGACCCCCACCCTGATCCGGGACACCCTTCAGGGCAAACCAGCCGGCCCCCACCCATGCACCAGGCCTCTATCCTATATAGTAAAAGGGTAATATGCAAACTGACCCTAACAGCAGAAAGACTGGGAA